AATTTTTCTGAGTCCTATTCATTTACTAAATGAGTTTGATACTTGCAATGCCTGCTGGGCAGTGATGGTGGATGTGGTGATATTTTCATAAACTTAAACTGCCTTACAAATGGAAAGTTAGCATTTCTTCCCTTTTCTGCTTCCTCTATTTCTCTTTACTCTTTTCTCCTTCCTACCATTTCTTCCTTCACTCTCTCCTCTTCCCTTTCCTCCTCCTAGGGTTTCTGCCATCTTAGCTAACACCCACCCCTCCCTTACAGGGTGCCGGCCATTTCTCCGCATCTACCAGGCCATGCAACCTGTTTACACATCTGGGATCTAGTGAGTATCCCATGAACATGAGAGGCCAGGGATGCCCAGGGACCCAGGCTCAGGACCAGAGCAGGGGCATGGGGAAGCTGAATTTCTTCTTCCTGTGAAGGGACAAAGTCAGCGAGGGTTCCCAGTAGGCCTGTGGCAGAGGGACAACAGGAAGAAAACATCCTCCTCCAGTGACGCTCTCTTTCTCTGCCTGTCTCTCTCCCTTAGCAACATCCCAGGAGACAGCCAGACCAGTGTCTGTATCACCATTGAGCCAGGACTGCTCCTGAAGGGAGACATCTTGGTGAGTATTGCTCCTCTGGCTCAAGCCTTACCCTCATTTGTTTTTTTTCTTCCTTCTTTTCTCTTCCTGCTCTCCTGCCTCTCAGGATAACATAGCTACTCCTTCTAGTGGGCTGCCACATCCAACCTAGGACAGTCCATGTCCCCTCCCTTAGGCTTATCTGTTGTTCTGGAACATCTCCAGAAAGGTATAATTCAGTGTGGGCTGTTACCTTCTGGTTTCCCATTGGTGACAAGGACTCCCTCAATGCTAACTTCAGTCCTTCCTGATGCAGTTTAAGTCCACTCTTACTTTTTCCATTCTGACTGGTATACAAAAACTTTTGGAAAGATAATTTTGTCCCCCACTCTCTGCTGTTCTAAAAGTTTCCCCACAGAGCTCTGAGATCCTGCTTGATGTTGGTGACCTCTCCCTCCCTGGGTTTGGGGTGAGCCTCGGAGGCTTAGTCAATGGATCTGTAAAGAAGGTTTCCGGGGAGCTGATTTCCCGTCCTCAGGCCCCTGACTGGATTTGCCCTCCCCCACCCCCAGCTTAAGTGCTACCACAAGAAGTTCCGGAGCCCATCCCGTGATGTCATCTTCCGGGTGCAGTTCCACACATGTGCCATCCATGACTTGGGGGTTGTCTTTGGCAAGGAAGACCTTGATGATGCCTTCAAAGGTGGGCTCCTTGGGTGGGGCTGGGGGTGGGTGCTGCTGTATAGGGGAGAGAAGCTCAGTTTGGGGGGATTTGGTGGATGTAGGGACCATTTTTTCTGAGTCATATGGTCTACCAACTGTACCAAGGGTCTTCTTAGTGACCCTGGGAGAGAACTGGGAGAGAGTTGGGAGAGAATTAGTTGGAATTGGAATGGTCTGAGAATTCAAGTTGTCAATAGAGGTGGAGGTAATTCCTCCTAGTCTCTGGGCTTTACATCCCCTGTAACCTTCTGCTGCTTTCCCTGTATTGCCTTCATTTTCTCCTCCCAGTTCATCATATGTCCTGCTGACAATCTCGTTTTCAGTATTCATTGGGCATCTGCTTTGTGCTAGGCTCTGTCCCAAGTGCTAGGGATGCAAAGTAAAACATGACATGGTCTCTGCCTTGGTGAAGCTGAAAAATATTGTCAAGTTGAGGGGCAGGAAACATTACGCTACAGGGTAGAGGAACTATAGTGGAAGGTGGTGGCAGCAGTGAGGGAGGAACCTTTCATACTCCTATCCATTCATCCGTCCACACATTCATTCATCCATCCACTCATTTATTCACCAACTCATCTATCCATTCATCCATCCACCTACTCATTCATCTACCAACCCATCCATCCTTCTATTTATTCATTCATCCATCCACCCACCAAGCATCACTGTGTGCCTATACATATGTGTCAGACATAATTCAACTATTCATCTATCTATTCTTCCATCAACCCATCCATCCATCTGTCCATCCATCTAACCATCCATCCATCTCTTTTTCCATCTGTTCATCCATCCATCCATCTGACCACCAAGCATCACTTATGTGCCTATATGTATGTGTCAGGTGTGAGAAAGAAGCCAGACCCCACCCTCAGGGAGCTCACAGTCTTGTGGGCAAGACACACACAAACATTATTCTGTGATGTGATGCTCTCAGTGATGGAGAGATGCACAGGCATGGTGGGTGTCCCAAGGAGCAGATGCCATCCTTACTGTGATTTTTCTTTCTAGAAGCATTGGGCGGTGATCTAGGCTCAGGCAGAGAGAATGGAGTGGGACTGGAGCTTGGAGGAGAGGCTAGGTCTCCTCAGTGTAGTATGGCTCATGTAAGAGAAGGATGTCTCCATGATAAGTTCTCCTTGCACTGGAGCCAGGAGGACAAAAATGGAAGATGCTGTTGTATTATAGAATAGAATTTAAATGTTATAAGTCTTAATGTGGCAAAATAAAGGTACAGCTACAGAATGAATAAATATGGTTGAGGAGAGGTAGAGGAAAGGGAGTGTTATACATTTTTTCTCCTTCCAAGGTGACAGTTGTATAAGAGGAGGAAAATAGTCAAGAAATAGAGGCTTCGGCTCGGCGCCT